TTTAATTCATTCAATCAATCCAAACACATCTAAAATTTAAGCAGCATCCAATAGTATCACCGGTCGTAAATAGTTGACCGTATGGCTCGCCCAGCCTCGAACTGCAAAAGAAATACCCGTCATTACCATGATAGCCCCAAGAATCATTTTCCCAACCTAAACATTAAAAATAATAATTTATGTAAAGTGAACTTATTTTTGATTTTGTAATATACTGTAAATAGTACTCAATTACCGAGCATCTTATTTAGACTAGCTTTTTTTGTACAAAATCCAATTGCGATAGACCTTTTAAAATTGATAAAATTAATCGGAGAATATAAGTATAAACAAAAAGTGTTGGTATTAAATACTGTCATGTAGGCTATTTATGGCATAGAATAAATGTTGTGTATTACGCACGTACCCATTATTTCCCTGATCAATAATATGGACTTCAAAATAAAATAATCCAAATTGTGGAAGTATCAAATTATTCGCTCTTATTGAAGCAGCTTCTTCTTCACTTCTTCCGGGACCTATCGTTTGAAAAAAAGTTAGTGGTGCAAAATTCTAAAATATTTATTTATACATTCGTAAAGTTTCACATATACATAATAAATAATAAAATATGAAAAGTAGATATTTTACATGCCTGAAATATTAAAGTTCTAAAATTTTCTTTTATTACAGTAGAATAATCTCAATTTATTAATAATCTTACCTATATATTTTACTTTTAGTCCATCAAAATTTACACATAATAAATCAGATTTATCATTAATATTCCATGCAGTTGGAAAGGCCATATTGCAGAGATGATTTTAATGGTTTTAAATTGAAAGGGAGAATTTTTAGGTTTTAATTATGCAAAAAAAAAACAGCCTTGAATGCTGTGGAACGACCAAAAAAGGTGGTTTAACAACGCTGTATCGTTACATTATCATATGTTAATTTTCGATGTTGAGATTTTTTTTAATCTTTATTATTAAACGGTGTAACTACGAAAATTCTTTATTCTTGTAAGGCTTTTCTTGAAGGAAAACAAGGCATCTCCTTAACCTTTTATTGCAATAATTATTTCAATCTCGGTAGGAATAGAAATGTACGCTGTGCGTTATGCATATAAGATTATGCACAATAATTAGAGTTGTAAATTTAGAATTCTTCACTGTAAGGTAAGTTATAAGCATGTATCTTACATGTAAGTATGTAAGTTAAATAATATAAAATATAATTTAAATAGGACTTTACCAGGAAAATGACTCTCTAGATCTACATATATTTTATAAATAAAAGTTAAATTTGCTAACTTTTTCATAATCTAATTTAAATAAAAGATTTTTTTATTTTGTAGGCTTTACAATCACGTAGTCCTAAAGAATTATATTTTTTATTGTATCATATATACTATATATTATTAGTATATATTAATCTGATTGGTTCATTTTATTGTATTATATATACTCTAATAACTTACCATACTTTACAAATTTTAGATGTAAATTACATGTAACTTACGTGTAAGGTAAGTATAAGTTGGATATGCATGCATTTTTAACCGAGATACAATACGTATCCAGCAAATAAAGAAATTCATCTAAAATTAAATTTACATAGTAAAAATTATTATTCGGAGATTTTATTGTCAGTCAGAGGAGGATGAATATAGTGAATATAGACCGATCAATGTTTTGCTCCAATACCATCATGCTATTTTCGTTTATTCCTGATTTTTTTTCCTTTTTTGCTGTTCTGAAATATTACAAAAAAGATGAAATTATCCCAACTTTTAATTAATGATAATGATAATAGCAATAATAATATAAAAACGAAGTCTTGTTTTGATTATTAATCATATCCATATCAAACTTAGTAATATGATAAATAATATTTGAATTATGGTAAAATCACAACCTTGAAAAATTATTAATTTAATAAGAGATATTTGATTAATTTTACTACTTATTTATAAGATATTAGATTCAAAATGCAGAATATCCCTCCATATAATATTTCCTTACGATATTCATTCTTGGCGTCTAATTTTAAATGTGTTTGGATTGATTGAATGAATTAAAAAATGAGCACTTGCTCTACCTAAAATTCTGCGCATTATCATGTGTATTGACTAAGACTGATTCATATTACGTACATCTCAATATGCCTTCGCCTCGCACTAATCCTCTGAATTAGTATTTTTAAATGCCATTTCACGAAATATCTATAGATAGGTAAGGTTTTTTTTGTTCATATCGATATAAAATATTTGAAAAAAAATGCGTAAGCGTACTTTTGATTATTTTTGCAGATCCTTTTTATTTTAGTAATTTGTTAACGTTAAGAACTTCCTACGTATTTGTCTCGATCACGTTATCACATGCCAACTGTCAGGTCACGTTTTTTCTTGTGCATTGTTCGAATTTACAAAGACTGGCTTCTTTCTACCTGTGTTCCTTTGAATACATTAATACATACTTGTGCAGAATAAAGCCATAGGAGTTATTTTGCGCAAATTTGGTATTGATACTATCCAATACTAAATTTACAAAATCATTATAAAAAACACTACTATTTAATTCATTAAAGGTTTGGCGGTCTCCAATTTCAAATTATGCAATACAACCTCTATAAGTACACGCTCTTGGGACCAAATTTCAACAACGTGCACTTAGAGAATAATAAGAAAAGCGCATTTATAGAGGTTATGAATGTATTTGAGCCAGAATTTGAGTGTGCATTTAGAGAGGTTGTGCACTTATCGATGGTGCACTTATAGAGGTTTTAATTTACTGTATGTTTAATAAAGGCTTTGATGCTAGGAATAATTAGACATATCTATTTTATTAACACAAATTTTAATTTCTTATCCATTATCATCTATTGTTTAAAAATGAATCATTCGTTTTAATGTACGTACAGAATGTTCTCATTGACTTAGAAATTAACTTTAATTACGAAAATTTAAATATCAAATATATATATCTCTACAATATTACGTTTCACTCTTTATAAACAGAGTTTAAATCAAAATTTAATTTATTTTTGAAAACAAAACCCGTCAAACGGTGTGTTTTTTTTTGTTTTTTTTTAGACAAAATAAATTGTCATATTGAGGTGGAGGCTAACTAATAAAGTTACATATAAGCATAATAGTTCTAGTTAATACAATATTGATAATCTTATGAAAATTTAAATAACAAAGATAATATACAATAAATAAATGAATATATATATACATATGAAATATAAGATATATTAAATAATAAATATTATAATTTATATTATATAGCACGAAAATAGTACGAAAAATATTTGTGATCCTTTCATAGGTCAAACATGTATAAAATTGAAGGCAGGATTATAAGGATCTACGAATGGATTGTCGTTGTAACGAGTGTATCCAAAATCATATGCATTTTTACTGTACATGATTTTTAGTTCGTTTCTTGGTGTTACTGCATTTCCAACGTACAGATGGTTCCAAAAAGATGTTAAGTTATTCGTCATTATTAACATGATGACACTTTTATCTTTTTAAAAAAAGGAATTAATATTAATAAGTAAAGTTTCGAAATCTTGCAAGGATATTTACCTTAGTTATTTTAATTTTTAATTTAATTTTTTTTTTTTTTGAAAACTTTTAGCGGAAATAATTGCTTATTTATATCTAGAATTTAAATTAATGCGCAGACAAATAAATTTTTGTTACTATGATATGAGTTGTCAACATTCATAGGATAAATAAATAGTTTATATTATAGATACGATCAAGATAACATAAAGCTTTTTAAGTATATAAATACCGAAATATCAATATTTAAATACGTCACCATTCATTTACAAAAATGTTTGTATTTTAACTATAAAGCTTTTTTCTATTAATTTGTGTATAACCATGTGGTGTATCTTTAAAAGAATAAATGCCCATAAACGGCATCTTAATATTCATTAAAAGCGGGAAATTCCGCAAAGTCGTACAACTGTTCGGAATAGTTCCGATTTATTATCGTTATGCGAAACATAACTCTGTAATTTAGGCGGTTTTGTAAGACTGTGCCTTTAAATATGTATTCCGGAGTAACATAAAATAAGTCCGTAGGGTGTGTGATTATTTAATAACTCTAGTAATTGCAATTGACATTAGCCAATAATTTACTTATCACTTGTCTTAAAAACGAATAAGCATATATTAAATTTTGCCTTGCATTAATTGCAAAAATTATCAATCATTTGATTGGTCTATGTGAAAGTTCCCATGATCATGAGTTATATATTTTTGGTGTCATGACGCAATAATATTTACGAATTATTTAAGCATAAAAGTAACAATGACAGTTCATATAATCATAAATTTTACCATACTTCTTGTGCACAAACCAATTTGAAAGTAAGTGCTTAGACATGTACTTATCTGTTACAGTACATGTGTACGTATTAGCATAAATCAGCTATCATTAAATTTGATACCTGTGATTATCTCCTCGAGATTTGCCTAATATTTACTAAATACGCTGGAATATAGATAAATTAACCAAAGTATCTTTAACGTTAATTAATAAAAGTATTGTATTTCTTGTTTATTATCAATAATTCTTGAAGATTATGATGAACTTAATTTGACATTGTGCATCGCTTTTCAAACTATAACACCAGGCACCTGGTGTTAGTTTAATGCTCGGAATTTCTTTATCTCAATTCTCAATAATCTAACCATTTCAGTTAAGGTTACATATTTAAATTATTCTAACTTAAATTAGTCCGCAGTTAAAGGGTAAATTTTATTATTAACTACGGCACAGTATTACTATTAGTTTCATATAGAATTGGAATCTCAAAAGTTTCTGCTATTAAGAAAAAAAACAATCTTATTTTACTTTATTGCACGGCCATTATTGTTCATCTGTATTACACTAATATGTTAAAATCACTTTCTTTTTATTTTGTCATTCATGCTTGTTATCTTGCACGATACATACTTATATTATATTTCACTATACGAAGGGGTTTTAAAAAAAACATAAATAGTATAATTTATGATCAATGACCGCGTACTATACCAATATAGCATGATAATTCTGAGATATATCACTGTACCAACGTGAAGTTATCTCATATGTATTATCATGTAGTGTTTTAACCCGTTAACCCGGGTGACCCGTCGGGCTTATTCGGGAAGACTGACGGGTTATTCCCAGCCAATCGCTGAGGTTTGTTTACATCGGGTAAAATCGGTTTAACACATCCTATTTTGCCCAATGTAAACAAGCTTCAGTGATTGGCTGGGAATACCCGTCAGTCTACCCAGATCAGCCCGACGGGTCACCCGGGTTGACGGGTTAAAACACTATTACAGTCAGACCTCTCTAAGTGCACGCCCTTGGGATAAGGTGTCTGGCACGCCAAAAAAATTTGTCATGCCACAGGGCATGCCTTTTCTTAAAATTTATACCATGGCATGCCTTTTGGCATGCTATAAAATGTTATTTATTATTTCTGTATTTATAATACTATTTATATGTCTGAATATTATAAATATAATTTTTATGCTGTACTCAGTGGCATGCCAAATTTGTTTTTGGCATGCCAGTGCATGCCACCATTGGCATGCCTTTGCCACTATGCCAGATACTCTATCTTGGAACCATGCTTTAATAATGTATATATAGAGAATAATAAGAAAAGGTTTATTTATAGAGATCAAGTATATATTTGGGCCAGCACTTGAGCATGCATTTAGAGAAGGTGTGTACTTATAGAGTGTGTACTTATAGAGTGTGCACTTAGAGAGGTCTGACTATATCATGATGCTTATTATCTTAAAATATCTATGTTTATATTCTACTAGACTAATTTTAATTACAACTATTATAATTATCTTAATTTGAGAAGATTTACTTGGTAAATAAAAAAAAAACCTTTATAAGTATATAAAACAGCCAGATTTCTGCACTATAGAATATTTGTATTCTGATTTTGTTTGTTATTTTTTTTTTACCCTTTCAAAACTAAATTATAATTTAACTAATATAATATACATATTATACTAATTTAATACTGGTCTGAATTAAAGTGGCCTACATGAGTCTATATATATATAAACTATTTCATTATAAAAATTGGTTGTATATCAAAAATCTAATATATAAAACCTGATACACAAATCTTGGCAACAAAATCCCAATATACAAAATTATGACAAATTAAAATCCTAATTTAAATATTTTTAGAATTTTAATTTGCTGTAATTTTCTATATTGGGATTTTGTTACTAGGATTTTAAGTGCAAAATTTTATTTTGGAATTCTAATATACAATACTCAAAATCAAATTAAATCAAATATTAAATATATTTAAATTTGATTTAATATTTGATTTAAAGCTTTTAAAAATTTTAAAATTAGGGGTATAGCAATTTCGTAAAGCAGTTAGGTTGTCAACCTCCAAGTGATGACCTAGAATTCAAATCTTACTGGTAACAAAAAATTGAATTTCTATCTATATTTTTAGTAAATATTTTTAGTATTGGGCTAATTTGAGTTTGTACTTTTATTA